ATCAGAGTAATCTTTCAGATTAGCAAATGTATCTGAAATTCAAGGCTGAATGGGATTTTTGATGCAGGAATTATATTCATGTGATATAGTTGCACTAATAAAAAGGGGGCAAAAGTGATAAGAATGTATTACTTTCACATGAGAGATTAGAGAATTTTTCTCTTCAAAATCCTTTGAGCAGACTTAAGATATGTTGCAGTAGGCCATTTTGCTGAAACTGCTAGCAATGCAGTTTTGCTAGAATGCAAATCTCACATGCTTTTTGTCTGACAAGGGTATAGGCAGTCCATGTTTTGGATTGTGTGATGGATGCACGCTGAGACTCGGATACTACAACAGCAGAGCTACAATGCTGGTGTGTGACTAGAAAGTGTGTGTTATGGTCATGAGGTTCCTACTGGCTAAATAACCCCGTGGCTGCAGCACAGAGCTATAGTATGTCTCTCTTGCTTTGCGAAACTCCCAAACTGTTCATAGCTGGTTGATGCTGACATACGAGGTTAGGAGACAGCAAAGATCCACTGTGAATGTGCAAAATAGAGGCAGGAGAGTGTGCAGCAGTAATCAAATGACTGAGTTCCAGTTATTGTATTTTGGGCTTGACAGGTCTCTCTGAATGTTAGTGGTGAAGATGAGTTTCTTCTGTTGTAGTCTGGACAAATAGCTGTTTTAAGAAAAGCTCTGAAATCACCCAGATAGCCCTGTCAGTGATCATGTTTTCATATTTTATGTCATTTTGGGTCGTACATCAAATACCAAAAGTGAAATTATGTTGGATGACATTAACAAAAAAAATTTGTGTTAGTGGATCATGATTTCACCAGATGGATTTCTATGTATTCTAGCATTTCTCTGCAGAGTTAATAATATGGCCTCTTCAGTCTTTTTGTGTTTAAATCTGACTCCAGATATAGAATAATAAATGAAAGTTGTCTTTAGAGGATGTGCAGAATCTCTTTATTCTGTTTGAACTTCCCAGATCTGTTTTTATGTGTCCATCTGCTATAATATCCTTTTTTCTGTCTTTCTTCTATCTCTGCTTGTGTATATTTTCTCTGTACATCCATTGGTTGGGTCATATCCTAGCATATAGAATATGTGCAGCACATAGAAAGCAGTCATTTTCCATCCGTGAATGAGTTGAATAAAACCATGAAAGTAGCCAGGCAGTAACAACAGCAAAGTGTATCAGCATAGCTAACGTCCTTCAACAGTTTCACAAAATTTGCAGCATTTTACATCAGGTTCTCTGGCCTTCAGAGACCTTAAGGAATATACAAACTTAGTGCTTTGACTGCCATCTATGCCACCACCGTAGTCAGAATGAGAACTGTGTTGCAGAACATGGCGTCTTTGTGCTTAAAAATGCAGGGGTTTAGTCAGTTTCCATTCCTCTGTTTTAGCCTGAACAAGACAGAAAAAGGCACTATATTGTGGGAATTGGATGTCAGCAAATAGTGGTAACTTTCAAATGACAAGTACTGTTAAGTAAAAAAGTACTGCTGTAGAATGGAATGTTTTGTTCAACTTTTTCTCAAATGGATTTCTCTAGACATCTGATTTTTTAACATAGGAGATGACAAATTCATGCTGAATTCAAGAAAGTTTTGACCTTTTTTTCTAAAATAGAGTTCAATTTTTTTTGTTAATTCATCAGCTTATCTTTAAAATTTACAGATCCTTCCTACCCTAGAAATATTCTTCCTGCACACCAACTAACTTTCAATCTGAGAATGAATATGACACTGATTCCTAGAATGAGCAGAGTTATAGGGAGAAGGGGCAGCTCTTTTGTTGGAGACATCTACATGGAACTTTGAGTTCATATTTTGTATCTCCACCATGAACTTAGGAAAACACCTAGAAAATAGAGGTAAGAAACTCTAGCTTTTTACTACTGTCATGGTTTAAGCCCAGCTGGTAACTAAACACCACGCAGCTGCTCACTCACTCCCCCCCTCTCAGTGGGATGGGGGAGAGAAATCGAGGAAAAAAAAAGTAAAACTTGTGGGTTGAGATAAGAATGGTTTAATAGAACAGAAAGGAAGAAAATAATGATAGTAACAACAATATTAAAATGACAATAATAATAAAAGAATTGGAATATACAGAACAAGTGATGCACAATGCAATTGCTCACCACCCACCGACCGATGCCTAGTCAGTTCCTGAGCAGCAATCCTTCCTCGCCCAACTCCCCCTAGTTTATATACTGGGCATGACATCACATGGTATGGAATACCCCTTTGGCCAGTTTGGGTCAGCTGTCCTGGCTGTGTCCTGTGCCAACTTCTTGTGCCTCTCCAGCCTTCTTGCTGGCTGGGCATGAGAAGCTGAAAAATCTTGGACTTAGTCTAAACAGTACTTAGCAACAACTGAAAACATCAGTGTGTTATCCACATTCTTCTCATTCTGAACTCAAGAGATAACACTATACCAGCTACCAGAAAGAAAATTAACTCTATCCCAGCTGAAACCAGGACAACTACCCTTTCTCATATTGTATATCCAGCCATAATATGCTGAGAATACACTTAGCCTGGCTTTTACCAGACTGAATCCTATCTACTTTTAATGCAATGTATATGAAGCAAAAATCTTTCCAAATACATCCACTACTATTTGAGTTTCATTTCTGTGACTTCAAGATTCACATTTTTAAGAATGTGGCTTTTTTCTGATAGGAGGTGAAAATATGGATGCATTTTTTTACATCTTAATAGTAGAGTTTTTTCTGTATAGGAGGTGAAAGAGATGTATTTTTCTCTACCTTGTTACTAGCTAGTTTTCTACAGTATCCACAGTAATTTATAATAGAAGCAGCTCCTGCAGATAAAAATGTTTTCCTGCTTTCTCTGGCACCTGGATGCATCTCTTCTGGAAAGCAGCCAAAGAGGCATCTCCCTCTTCCGCAAAGAGGCTAGCAAATGAGAGCATTTCTAAGAGCAGGTTTTTGGTCTGAGGGGGTTTAGGATCTGCTTCCAAGAGATGTGTGCAAGATAGCTAAGAGAAGCATGTCTATCGTTAGTAGGTTTCAAATTGATTTATAAGGACCTGCATTTCTGCTGAAGAAAACAGAGGTGCAAAACAGAGAAGGCTGAGGACTTCTGCTCTACTTGTTTCTGCAATAGGCATTCTTTTTACATGGCCAGGTCCTATTTTTCTACCTTTGACACAACCCACTCCATCGGGGCTGAGTGGATTCTTTAAATTAGCAAGTGTGGCCACCTACTGGGGAAAAAAACAATGTAAAAATAAGAGAAAACAGAATGTACATAAATGGTAATACCTTGAGCACAGGTAGCCAGCTGGAAATATTACAAACACAAGAATGAAAATTCAAGTCCCAGTTTCCTGTGCCCTACTATTACCATATAATTTTTGCGATACTATACTTTGCTCTTCCTCTGTATAAATAGTTCCTTCTTGTTCTGACAGCTTTATCCTTACCCAGTTACTCCTCTCAATCAGATCAAATTCATCTCTGATTTCTAACACCTGCTGTTTTGTTCAAATCATAGTTTAGCCTTTTCTAGGTAGAAATTGCACCTGACAGATGAATGGATCACAAGACGTAACCAATCATTTTATTTTATGTATTGAACTACCAACAATTATTGCTTTATTTGGCGGGAGCACTCTAAACTTTCAGTAACAACAAATATGATTGAAATATGAAATGAACTGAACATGTTAAGAATTTACAAGAGCTTCTTTAATTCCCAAGTGGTCATGGATGTTCTATATTAGTGGTGTGGTACAGCCATGTCTACAGCAGAAAAACACACCTACGTTTGAAAAAGGGCACGAGCACTGCCACAGCTAGATAATAGCTGACGATAATATATGTTACCTGAAGAAGATTAGGCTATTTTCACACATGCTAGAAGCTAGCTGATCATAGTACTTACATGTACTGTCGATGTGTAGGACAGCCGGAGCAGGTAGTTATGCACCCCTACTGCCTGGCTGCCCGAGCCTCTCATCTTGCATTTGTGGGAAAGGGTCCTGAGAATTCAATTTTAATTTACCTTCCTTCATTTCAAATCCTTATCAAACAAATGTTAGAGCTGAGAATAAAATGGCAACAGCTGGTAATGTTTGTTAATTAATTACAGTTGAGGTCTGTATGTTTATCTAAAATTGGTTTTGCCGTCATAGGTCTATAGAGAATGGAGCAGAGTGTGATTAAATCAGGTGTTTTGCTGGGAAGACGGGGAGAGTTCACTAAATGTCACCTGAAAGTAAAAGTCTTTGTAAGAGCTGAGGGGCTTTTAAACAGTGGTGAAACTTGTTCAGTCTTACCCACGCTGCTTTCCTGAAATAATCTGCCTCTGTTTCTAAAAGGGAAATACAGTGGTTTAGATATAGGATGTGTTGATTCATTTAAGACAAACAGTAAGAGTGTTCACGTGTCCTGATCTATGGGTAGTGCTGACAGGCTTCTCTCAGCCACCTCTGTGCCGTTTTGTAGATGGGAGTTGCAGTTTTCTCTAGAGGAACAGTCTCAGTACAAAATATTTTATTAATATGTTTATACATGTGACAACAGTTGTGAAAGGGCCTGTATTTTTTATTAGAATAATTAAAGATTTAAAGTTTGATCAGACTTTTGACCATGTAAGGCTTTCTTTCAACCCAAAGAAAACTCAACCCACCTGTCTGAAAGCTGGTGGATTTTGAAGAACTTTAGTAATTGGTCTAGGAAACACACGACCTCTGCAGTTGGACCTTAATTATTTTCTCAGATCATGATGGACATGAAATAGCCTGAGCGCATTTTGTTTCCTGCCTTTCTCCAGGGGGTGCGAGGGAGATGGCGGGCAGGGCGTGAGGGGGGAGGACGGCGGGTGCTGGGTGCGAGGGAGATGGCGGGCGGGGGGTGGGGGCGGCCGCGCCGCCCGCCCCCCACGAGCGCTCCCGTCGCTGCCTCCAGGGGGCCGCGCCCGCCGCCGTTACCAGGCCGGTGGGGTAAACGGCCGCCGCGGCCCCGTGCCGCCATGGCGGGGATGCTGCGGCCCGTCTATGAGGGGAAGTTCACTGACAAGTTTCCTGAGCTGTCGGCCGTGAGTGCCTTCCCCGAAGGGGTCCCACCGTGGCCGCGGAGCCGCCCGCGTTCTGCGCGTTTCTGGGGCCGGGGTCTGGCCGTGGGCTGGGGGAAGAGGCTGGAGGAGGGGCAACGTGTGGGGCAGGCAGGCGCATTTCGCTTCGGTCCTCCTTTTTTCCCCCCTTTTATCAGAACGAGGACAATAAGACAACATCTTGTGCAGGGTGGCAGATCCCAGTTTGGCTTATTGTGCTTATGAGTACAATGGGTTTGGTTATGCCTTACTTTTTGATTGTATTGTGTAGGCTGGAAAGTTGCATCCCACTGGCGATACGGCTGCGAGTTGCCTCACTGAGGTTTTACCGAGGGTGAGTTGGTTTTTCAGATGCTCCTTGTGAAACTTTGTAATGATTTCCCATTAGTGATTGTGCTTTGAGACAAGCCCTAAAAAAAAAAAAAAGAAAATCAGTGAAATCTTGGTCTCTTATTCTGCATCCCTTTTCTTTAGAAACTACTGGGTTTTTTCCGATGTTAGTTTCTGTTACTTGGGATCAGAGAGAATTGCTGGTAGGATTGTAAAACGCTTCTGGTAGTTCTTTTTCACCATGCATGTTTTACAAAATTCACCATGTTTGCTTAGATAGGACTAAGTAGAATTGTTTTAGACAGTTTTTCTCTGGTAATACAATTATAGTGATTATTATTGGGAATTACTATTACTTCTGATGGAGATCCTTTTTCTTTATCAAGGATGCCCCTCAGAATTGTGCTTTCCACTGGCCCTTCCCCATGCCCCTGAAGAGTCAGAGGATACTGAGACACAAACGGATCCCTTAAATAGCAACTCTCCCTTTAAATGGGTAATTAAAAATAACCAAAACTGTGGTTAAAATAATTTCTGAAGTTGCTTCATTGGTGGTGGAATTGTTGTGAATCAGGTTAAAAGTTTTTGAAGTTGAGAAATGTAACATCTACATTTCATGAACTGTATGTGAAGAAGCTGTTATCCATCTTCAAGATGGAACCAGACAGTTGAAACTTAGCAACTCTCTCATTACTTCTCCTGCTGGTTTAACAAAATTAGGCTGGGCTGTGTTGACCTTATGTTCAGAATATCAGCATCTGCAGGAGCATACACATGTGTTACAGACCTAAAACATCCTCATATTTTGTTCTTATCTCTGTGGAATCACACTGAAAAGGCTGCAGTACATTTTCTTTCCCTTAATATTTTGCAAATATCTGGTGTAAAATTGTTTTTGCTTTGCTTTATATATAGCCCATTACTCCAACTAGTGTGCGAAAGTTTCGAAATACAACAAATCCAGCTCCTGGTGTTGAAAGAATATTCTACGGCAGAGCAGATGATCCTGATATTGCAGCTCATTTGACACATGGCATACAGTCACGTTCTTCACTCAGTGTAAGAATGTGACTTGTTTACTTTTGTTTAAGAATGGACTGCTTAAGAATGTCCTTAATAAGAGCAGCTGATTTCTTCATAGCCAGGGATGAAGGTACATAGCTGGGTTATTTACACTGCAGCATTTCACCGCTGTTGTGGATTATCTGAATTCTGAGGTCAATTCACAGGATTTAATTAGCATGGTTGAAATAGGAAAACATTTGAAATCCAGTGACTTTTATCTTATCGGTGACTAAACTTTTGCAATGACTGTTGAATTACTCATTTCATTTCAACATTTAAGTTAATGAACAGTCTCCTACCCACAAATTTTGCTGCTTTCTTTACTGATTACAGAGGTAAAGCCTGCTGAGCTCTTAGCAAGAGAACTGCTATCTGAGAACGTGCTTAGTTCAGTGTAATTATTATGTATTCTTCCTTATCTCTGGGTTGAAACAGGTTTTGTTAGCTAAAAAGTGATGGTTTGGATATGTCAGACTATTTTGTGTGTATTCTTCAGAAATTATTTTTGTAATCTGTAATCAAACAACTGATCATTGGTGATTTTATCACATAATTATTGTTACATTCTCTAAAAATAACAGTTGTGTTAGTAAAATACACTTTTATGATGCATTTCATCAGCTGGGCTTGTAAATTAATCATTTTCAGTTTTACAAATTAAGAAGTTGAGGCAAAGAGGAGTTCAGGTCTCAAAAATAAGTCTTCAGGTTGGAACATATAAGTCCTGATATTAGAGGATGTTGAGCAGGACATCTGTTAGGCTGTCACAGTTTAACCCCAGCCAGCAACTAAGCACCACGGAGCTGCTCACTCACTCCCCCTCCACCCAGTGGGATGGGGGAGAAAATCGGGAAAAGAAGTAAAACTCGTGGGTTGAGATAAGAACGGTTTAATAGAACAGAAAAGAAGAAACTAATAATAATAATGATAACACTAATAAAATGACAACAGTAGTAATAATAGGATTGGAATGTACAAATGATGCTCAGTGCAGTTGCTCACCACCCGCCAATTGACACCTAGCTAGTCCTTGAGCGGTTATCGCCCCCCCCCCCTTCCCCCCACTTTATACACTAGATGTGACATCACCTGGTATGGAATACCCCTTTGACCAGTTTGGGTCAGCTGCCCTGGCTGTGTCCCCTCCCAACTTCTTGTGCCCCTCCAGCTTTCTCACTGGCTGGGCATGAGAAGCTGAAAAATCCTTGACTTTAGACTAAACACTACTTAGCAACAACTGAAAACATCAGTGTTATCAACATTCTTTGCATACTGAACCCAAAACATAGCACCTTATCACCTACTAGGAAGACAATTAACTCTATCCCAGCCGAAACCAGGGCATAGGCTTATCCAACATGAAAAAGAAATCAGGTTTTAGGTGTCCCTCCTACAAAGTTTTACATTGAATGGATTGATTTGTTTAGCCTGTACTGTCTGTTGAAGACTGTTTCACTTTGCATTATTAATTAAAAATTAACTTGAGGAAGAGTTGGAATCTTATGGAGTTCGCTAAGCATGGGTTTGGATCAATTGTATTTGCTACTGCTTTTTTCAGTATTTTTTTATATAACATTTGATAAGAGTCTAATAATAAACCCTCTCTAGAGTCCCCATTACTTTGATGGGTAGCCTGAAAAATCAAATTATTTGTGAATATCAAAATACCCTGTTTTGACATTTTTGAAACTTTCTTTTTGAGATTTTTTTTTCCCTTGAAGTTGACCTAATTTTACAAGTAACTTCTATTGACCCAAGCACAGTGTGTACACTGAGAAAAAAAATTCGTCCAACCTAGTGCTAAGCTTTGAAAACCCTGCTGAAGTAATTTCTTTTGGTATGTTGGTTTAGGGTGCAATATTAGTGTATATCTTGAAACATTATCTTTAAATTCTGCATCAGCAGAATTGGGAGTAGCTGTTTAGAGAACAGATAGTCTTAACTGCTAGTCAGTAGATGTCTTTTAATCATAAGCACCAGGAGACTTCGTGCCAAAGACGTTATAACTATAATAATTTTCACACTTAAGTTTTTTGGTCATATTATAATTTGACTACAGTTTCTACTATACAGTAAGAACAGAAAGGCTACAGTCTGAAATTTTATAAATTAACAAGTGGAAAAACTCGCATAAAAATACAAAGTTCTGTCTCACAGTATGTATTTTATTTCACAATATGTATTTTATTTAGCTGGAGGTTTAGCATAGCATTGATTATTAGTGGTCTCTCAAAATACAGTTTTTGCAACTTGGTAGATAAAATTATGTCAGTGTAATCATATAAGATCTCATTAGAACACTTATGATCAAACTTTTGTTTGTGTGTGTGTGTGTGAGGGGGTAGCCATAGTGATGTGTGAATTAATAAATTTTGGTGGTTTTCCTGCCTCTTGCGTTGTTTGTGATGTCTTTAGGCAGCTTCATTGATAAATCCACTTCCTAAAACTAGTTTTCAACAAAAAATACAAGACAAAAAAGAAGCAATCTACTTTAGTAATCGTCAAGCATCCTTGGGCAGATCACATGATCAGTCTTCTATGTTACCTAAGGGCTTGGATATAATTAATACTACATTTGGAACAAAAGTCATCCAAGGTAGGAAAATTTAGCATTAAATCATATTTCTTCTAAATACAAGGTAATCTGCAATTTAGTGTCTAGCACATACTCTATGCTTCCAACAATTCCAGCTTAATAGAAAAGTTATTATTATAGCAGTTATTGAAAGGCATAAAAATGTACTAGTATTTTTCAAGTTATGATGAAGAAACAAGCAACTGAGGACATTTGGTAACTAGTAGGGCTTTTGGCTCTGTTCCAGATCTGTCTTTGAAGATTTCCCCAGAGAACTGTTTAGGTAGCTGACAACTTACCTTCTTTTTCCCAACTATTCTAATAGGTCTAATAAAAGATACTACCGTGACCTGTGAATCTTTCCTCCATAGATTGGAGCAAATCATGCATGTGTTGACCATATAACTCTTTTGCAACAGTTATGTTCATCTCAGTTCTGTGAATTTTTTTTTCCCTAGTCCCGTGTCATTTTGCCGTAAGATTCCTGTAGATTGACTAGAAATGTGGTAAGAAGTATCATTCTTCCACAGTATTAGCATCTTTTCTAAGAAGATATTGTTTAAAATTAAGAACCAACCAAACAAAACACCCGTTGCCACTACCTCCCCCAACCATATATTTATTCCTTACTTTCTAGATATATCAGCTGGAGAGCTTATAAATCCACCAAAAACTTTTGAGGAAGTGGATAAAGAAGCCAGAGAAGGACATGATCTGTACATTATGTCACACAGTGATTATTATGTGGGTAAGTTCAAAGACTGATACTAATCTGCATAAAAAGTTCTAATATAAATAAAGGTAATTGTTCCTCTTTGTGTCTTCAACACATATTGTATACTATTTTTTGAGATATAAAAACTATTACTTTTTAATACTATATTAATATAATACAAATTCTTTTTAAAAGTAATGATGTGAAAAAAATACTTATATGCAACTGAGAGGGCATGACCTGTTTTTAGAACGGTAGATCATTTCATGGTGCGTGTATTAGTGTAAGAACTTAATGAAGGAGTTGGAAGCCTGATTTCTTTTGGGTGCTATTTGAAAAGCAAAGTATTTCCAGGAAACTAGAAACTCATAGATGCCCTGGTTGCTTGTTGAGTTTGACATTGTCTGTGCTACTGAGAACAATCTCAGGCTTAAAGCCACAGACTGTGAACCCAGCCCATTCCAGCAGTTTCACCTCTGGTTCCTCTTTTTTATCAGAATCCAAACAGAATTTCAGGGCAGCTAGACTTTCTGATGGGGGAGCTCAGCATCAAGCTCTGGTTATAAGGAATTTCAGGCTGCTGAGTGGCTCTCTCGAATGCAGGTTCCTCAGCCTACAGCATCCTGCCTGTGTCTGTCCTGCAGCCTCTGTCTCTGCCCTTCCAGTGGGCTGTGCCTCCACTGCTTTAGCCTCTGGGGGCTGTACTTGTGTGAAGTGGTCTGCTCGGGGATGGTTACCCTTTATCTCATAGGTCTGCACAGGAACAGAGTGACTGATATGCAAATAGCACTCTGAAATGCAATACATGTATTACTTTTGCAGCCACTTATATTTTTCCCAGTTCCATCATTTTGACTTAGGCTGAGAGACTTATATTGCTGCTCTATAAGATTAGTATTATAATAAAATTGCCTATTGCGCTAGAACTGACAGTTTTGTAGGTGCAGGCCAAACATATAAGAAACTGCAGTACAGATATTTCAGTTGTAATAATGTAAATTTTATATGGAGATAGTTACGTAGAAGTGAAATTACAGCACTGTGTTCTCTCACTGAGAAATTCTATTACAAGTACTACTAGTACAAATTGGCCAAACTTGTAATTTTATTTCCTCACCTTTCTTAGGTGTTTTAATGGAATTATTCATTATCTGTTTCTGTCTCCTTTGTAACTTCTGTCCACAGATTCAAGGAGAGGCCAAGCCAAAAACAGACAGATAGCAAAAAAAAAAAAAAAAATCAACTATGTGCCCCAGTTTTGAACAATAACATAAAAATTCCATGCTGCCATACAGCCAGAGGGAGCCCTTATTGGAAAGCATGCAGTGAATAATATTTTTTGAAAGTTCTAATTGCCATTATTTTCAAAAGATGATTGAAAAGAGCTTGAAGAAAAGGAATGACTTTTTTTTCTGTGACAAGAAACATGCTTGCAGCTCACTTACATAGAGTACTTATGAGATATTCTTGTATGTGAAACCTCATTTTATAGGCAAGACTGGATTAATAGATTCTTGAAAAAGTAGGGTAATATCTTGTTTACAGTGAAGTCAGTGGCAAAATTTCCACTGAAGTCAACATAGCAAGAATATATCTGAAAGTACAGCACCTCAAAAACATTTTTTTCCTTTTAGCATTTTTTTTAACAAATAGTAAATTAAATGGTACAAAACTCTGCTCAGGTACAGACATTATAAAGTGATTTGTTTGAATGACCCTCACTACTTAGGTGATCTGGTATTTTTTCATTAATTCTGTTGGGCTAGTCTTTAGTCAAGCATAAAAGGACATCCAAGTATTTTACTACTGAAGCAGTTTTTGTTTTTCATTTTGCCTTTTGTCTTCACTTTTGACAATGAGATTATTCCTAACTACTTAATAAACATGGGGAATGCAAAACAGTTATCTTTAATTGAACAGAATTGTTAATAAGTTATTTGCTTTTGTTTCTTCATTGTTTTGTCTTAAGAATGAAGATACTGAGTACATTTTTCTTCCTGAGGTGTTTTATACAGGTTGAAATCCTTACTTTTTCCACAGGGGAAGCAATAAATAGGAAGTATGACTCGCCAAACTTCAGCAAGTCTTTTGTTTATGGAATAGAAACCCCTCACTTTAAAGATGGGCGAAGTGTATCCAAATCCTTAAATTGGCTCTATGATCTGCAATTGTAAGTTGCAGTGAGTTAACTAGTTAATTAATGGTGTGAGTTCTCAAGAAGAGTAAGTCTTCATATTTGAAGACAATTTTACATCTTGCAATCCCATCCTTAGCTATATTGAAGTGAATAGAAAATGCAGGGAGTAATTTTCAGAATAGTTTACCCAAAACAGTTCTACCGTAGTATAACAGCACTTGGCATGTCTTTAAGCATTACGTAAAGACACCTTTGATTTTAAATAGCAAGATTTTTCAATTACTAAATTTGTGTTTGTCTTGCAGAGGAGTTGCTCTTTCCTTCTAACATATAATATTTTGTAATAATATTGAAAAAGTGTTGAATATTGTTAAACAAATATGTGTGAGTTATTTTCATAATTTGTAGGAAGAGAGCAGCAAAAATTGTATCAAAACGAAGTGAGGATTTCAAGGAAAAATTTCAACCTCAGCTTGGAAAAGTTCTTGATCCGTAAGTAAGCAAAGATACCTTCCAAGAACAAGATGCACTCACATTTACCAAGTCTCCAATATCTTTTCTGTCTTAGGTAAATATTATAACTGTGCACTCAATGCTTCCACTGCAGCACTCAGTTACAAGAAGGGACTTTCTACTTGCCCTAATTAGGCTGATAAGTACACGAGTTACTAATGAGGGCTGTATTGTGTCTATGTGGTAAAGTTAAGTCTTACTCTTTAAATGATCTATATCTGAATTGATCGATTTGCATCAAGGAAATTACAAGCACACTGTAACATTCCCCCCCCCCCCCGTCTTTTGTGGTTAGGAAGGTTTGAAAGAACTGAAATGTCTCACCTATTATTTGGGGATGTGACCATTTTTCTTACTCTGACACTATTTTTGGTCATCTTTGTTTCATCGCCTGTATTCTCACTTTATTACTTCTTTGGAAAAGGACATGGAACTAAATTGTGTTGTTATCTAGCAGCATGTATCAATCTCAGTCAAATAATTTCATTGCTTCATAAACCTCAGGTGATCTGGAACAACTTTTTAATTTTACAAAACAGTGCTTATGAAGGGCTACAGTAGCCCTAAGGTACAGTGTTATCAGGATACAGCTGTGCTAAAATCTAGGGTTCCTGAATGTATACAAAGACTGTCTTTGCAGATGCTCTAGATTTCTTCAAAATTGTGTCTGAAGACTCACAAACATTACTGACTTTGGTAGCAAAATTTAATTTTAAGTTCAGGATCACAGACTTAAGTGACTATGGAGAATTATGCCCATGGTACCTGTAAGGAGTGAACACAAATGTAAGCCAGTTTCTCCTCTCCTCTTCACTGTGCCCTAGCTTACTGTGAAGTAGACCTGGAGCGTAAGCAACATGAGGCAGTATGGTCAGGGAATATGGGTTGCAGTGCAAGCTCAAACCCAGCACTAATATTACAGGACAGGTGCAAACTAACCTAACTTTATGTAGTGAATTTTACACCATCCACATCCTATGTGTAATATGAAAATAATAAAAGAAAAATACTCGTAGTAATTTTTAGATTATAGTGCTTCCATCTCTGTGTGTGGTTTTTTTGTTTGTTTGCTTTGTATTTTAGAACAAAGCACTCATCCTGTTTTCAATTTTGATGGAGATTTCTGATTCATGTAACAGTTTAATAATGTAACATAGAGGTAAAATGAACATTACATCTTTTTCAAATTAAGAAGTAAAAAGCCAGTTCTTTAATGTTACCAACAGCATCTTAATTTTCTGGGAAATAAAACTGGGCCCAGTTTTCCAGATTGGTTGCTGGTTTTGGTAGACACAAAATTGCATGTGAAAAAGCAGAGGTGTGATTCAATTTTTCCACTTTAGCCAAAAGTAGTTTATTTGGAGACATCATTTCAGTTGGAGATCTGGTTTGTCCTAAACATTCCTATTACTTGACTAGTATGTTATACGGGCTTTTCTCACTCATTTCTGTCATTGTCTTAGAAAAAAAAATACTTTAGCATAGAATGTTTTTCCTTTTAATGAGTGTAAATGTTCAAAAAGTTAATGTTTACATTTGGTTGTGTTATATTACTAACAGCAAATGTTCTAAACACGTATATAAAGGGATGCTTTTCTGGAATGGCAACTTGAAGCAAAGTACTGATAAACAAATTTCAGGTGAACTATGTGTATCATCCCTCATTATATAACAGATGAGCGCTTTTTTAATAATAGCATGGGGTTTATTTTTGGTATTAATAAACTTTGACAATTAACAAAGAAATATGCTTATTGACAGTATAGCAGAAACAATGAATGTTCCCCCAGGCCATACATTTGGAATGTTACTCCGTCCAGATGAATATGGTAAGTTCAGGGGCAGAATAAAATCTTACCTTGTTGATAAAACTATGCTGAAGTAGTTACTGTTGGTTGTATAGCATATAATTCTCCTAAAATCTTAGAGGCAAGGTACAGAAATTTAATGGTGACAGTAAATTTTTGGAGGGGATATTTGAGAAGAATTGAAGTTGCTAGTGGGAAAAAAATGAATGCCAGAAATAAAGAAACTTTAGGTTTTTTTGTTGATCATATTGTTTTGGTTTTTGTTGATTTTTAAAGCCTCTGTATCTAAATGTAAACAAGATGGAAATGGCAGAAAACTCATATTGACATCTAAGTGACAAAGTTAAAATGGCTATTTAAATCAATTATGTGTTTTTCCTCCAATGATTTTTCCAGCACTTCTACAAAAAGAGTAAAAATAACAAGCAATAAATAAGAACGATAAGTTTTTGAAGGTAGCAGGAAGACAGAAAACAATGAAAATAAAAAATGCTTAATTTTCTTTATGACAAAATTTTGAAAGCTAATCAACTCAAACAGTCAAATGTTGGGATTGATAGTGTTTTAACATTATGTTAATAACTAGGGAATACAGTGAATAGTTAGGCAGCAAAAAATGTAAGTGGCTCAAAGTTATTTAATTAATCAAGACCAGAGAAGGCTTGTTCAAATTCTGCATAAGCTTTTATACATGCTTTACTATGTAGTGTAATGAAATTAAATATTTCAAATGTGGAGGTATGCTTGTCCTATAAGGAACAGCAGAAGGAATTGAACAAAAAAATTCATTATTAATAAGTAGAAAGTAATGCATGTACATTGCTGTTAGAAGGGGATTAGGTGAGCTACTTCTATTTGTTACTGGAGTCAGAATGAACTTATTGCACTCTAGAAATAGTGACCTTGGAGTCTTGGGGACTTGGAAGACTGTAGCTCAGTGTGCCAAACTGTTCAAAAATATTAATAAACCTAGAAAATGGGAAGAGTAACACAAAAATAGTACATTGTCATCCTAGAAATCAATGGTATATAATTATCTGAAATATTACATTGACTTTCTCATTGGGTCTTGTAAGTATCCTGAAATATGACAGACTGGAAGTGATAGATTAATAATATATGTTCTTTTGTTCTCAACTATCTGGACATCGAGTAACTCTTACTGCTGTCAGAAGCTTTTGGAAGCAGTGGGTAGATTTGTGAAGCCATATTAAGATGTTTCAAAATTATTGATATTAACTGCATGTAAGTAGAGAAATCATCATAGGGACCATTTGATCTTGTAATGCATTGGCTGTATCAGATGTTCAGCAGTGCTGAAAATCAGCATCTTGAAACTGAAATTCTCCTTTTCCTTAAGACTGTAAGCCATTTAAAAAAAAAAGTCTGTTTTCTGTATATGTGCAACTAATTGAGGAAGTGTTTATTTTTATATGAGTTGGTGATCTTCTTCACTGTCGGGTTCCATGTGAATTCCTCCGTGGCAAAGGCAGAGAGAGAGCTGTCTTGACTGCAGTTCGGCAAAGTTTGAAGAAAGCTAACTATGAGAATTTTGACGTGTTAGTAGAAGCATTCAGGCATTATGATAAGGTTAGTGCTTTGAAAAAGTATAAATGTAAAGGAATGTGTGACATTAGCACTCCTGTGCTATGGAGACACAGACATGAAGAAACATAAGCATAGCAAAGCAAATATAGATGAAGATTGTAAAGAGAAGGTAACTTCATAGTTATTGGATGTTTGATCTACTGTGATATGCTATGGCATTAAACACAACACTATTTGGAGCCTTTCACAACAGTATTTGGAATATCCAAGTTAACAGCAGGCAAGGGATATGTGAGCAGGAATAATCTTACCATTTTTTGCTCTGCAAAATTTGGTATTTCTTCTTAAAAGAAAAATGGTTGAAGGGATTATGTTCATATTTTCTTCCAAGCTGTACTTTTTGACTGAGTCACCAAGCATCAGAATTTCAGATCTTTCCTTTTTTTCTCTCTGGAAAAAAAAATTATAATTGATATTTCATATATAACATTAATTGTAATGTGTACAGAATGATTGATGCCTGACTTTCAAAAGAAGTCTGGGCTTTGCCTCAACATTTATGATTAGATTGTTATCTTGTCACAATACCCTGTCACGCTCTTTCACTCTCAAATCAATGTATTATTTAAGTTGAAAATTATTTATTGACACTTTAATATGCAGATTTTTAATTTTTAAATTACTCGGGGTTTCTTTTTATACTCAGCAGTGTTAATCTTCTGAAATGGTGTGCCTGGTGAGGTATAGAGAGATACATATATATAACCGTGTATGTGTATGTGTTCTTTTTGGTGGAGCCTTTTTATAATGGCTGTTATAACAACTGTTTTATTTTATTTATAATAGAATGGTGATGGAATGATAGACAAGGATGACCTACGAAAGTCCTGTTTTCAGCTTAATGTGAATCTAGATGGTGAACTCCTGGATTCCTTATTTGACTATTGTGATTTGGATAAAGATGGTCTGATTAATTATCTGGAGTTTGCAAACTTTCTGAACTGGAAAAACAAAATGGCTGTTAAAGAGTTTGAAGAAAAAATAATTTCAAAAGGTAGATGACTTAATACTGGGAAATTGTGGGGATGATCTTGTTCTTACAACAGCTATTGAAAGGAGATTGCTGTTGTAGACTGGGTGCTCCTTTAGAAGGGTGGGATTTGGGAAGTGCATTTAGTCCTTGCCTACCACCAGCAGAGCCTCAGATACAAATGTATTTCGGAATCCTGGAGTTCTGTGTCGCATGTTGAGAATGTCCCATAAATCAGGAGGAAGTAAAAAATTTCTTAGAATCATTATCAGAAATGGAGATTAATTATGTTACCTACTTTATAGTTTTTCAGTTAGGATTTTAGGATTCAAGCAATGGTTTTTACCTCTTAGTCTATAATGTGCAGATAATAAATCCTGGCTGTACCATTACTTTTGTTTATAGGGAAGAAACTAGATGCTCCTGTTCTGCTGAAGGACACAAAGATAAATAATGAGCCACTGCTGAAGCAGGAAGATCTTGTGTTAAAAGAACTGGGAAGCTCAGAAAAGGCACCAAAGACACTTAGAAGATCAGCAGAGCATGTATTTGCAAATTATCAAACAACTTCTTCTCAGTATAATGCTGTAGTAGGTGGTCTCCCAACAACCTGTAAGTACAGTGGACTGTACTTTCTGACTTCTGAGAAAGTGAGACAAGTTAAGACAAAATCAGGAACAAGTTTAAAAAGTATTGCTACAGGTTCTACTAATGTACAATAGTGAATTAATTTATCTAAACTAAGTTTGTTTAGGATTGTGGCTTGGAAGTTGGCATGGCTTGGATGTTTGGCATGGTTAATCCATTCAAAATGTGGAAGTTAATCTAGATGTCTTTGAGAAATTATGCTAGTAATTTTAGGAGAACAATGTTTTCTTGGAATCACCTAGAGATGTTTTCAGCTGGAAGTACTGAATACATACTAGAATATTACTGGAAGATTTCCTGTTGTCATGTTTCATGATGTAGCTGAAGCTAGGAATTCTAAAAATGTGAAAAAAGAGATGAGGAAGAACATTATGTAACTTGTTATTGAACCTATGTGAGATGAAGTATCAAATTTGTTCTTATTTCATACAAAATGTGTTATCCTTCCTGGCACTATCTTTACATACAGGCTTTTCCATGCTGCCTGTTGATTGATTTCCACAGGTTATCCAGTGTGTGGTGTTCCAACTATTCGTTCAGATATTCCTGCTCCTCAAATTCGCCACATCAATGACAGAACTAATTATGGTGATGAGGCCAATGCTTATGCATTATTATTCCCTTCTGTCTACAGTCAAAAGGGAGTGTATGAAAGAGACTTTTCTAAAACAAGACCAAAGGCAGAGGTATAGTGCATTTCTTGAGAATATTCTTCCAAGATAAACGGACCCCTAGTCATGTGGGAGTGGAGAGTCATATTATCAGATAAACAGGTTGTAAAATTCGTTGTTGCAACATTACCATCTTTCTTTATATCTATTCAACTATCTGAAAAATATGTACTTTTCATTCAAAATTATTCATAAAGGTGGCAGATACTAATTTTATTGAGATCCAACTTCAATAAGTAATATAGGGAAGTACATCAGGTTGTTGCTACTCACATGCTCAAATGCTGTGTCAAACGAGGGTTGGTAATTAATCTAGGGCTTAAGAGTCTATGACTCATCATTTTTGCAATGTGAGAAGAGCAAAGCAGTTGTGAAATTTCCATCCTTGCACATACTCAAATTTCTGACCAAGGTCCCAAGCAACGTGATTTAGTGGTAAAGTTAGCCCTGCTTTGATTATGTGGTTGGATGGATGATCTCTAGAGATCTCTTCTAACCTAAGTTACTCTATGATTCTATGAGTAGGTGTCTTAAAAATCTTCTTGTGGGGCTTTTTACAGGTGTATAAAACTAGTTTCTATCACTCAGGGTTGGATGTTCACTGGAAAATTTTACCCAAGGTGTCTCTCCTCAAACAAACTTGCAGGGTTTGCTAATGGCAGATTCAGTAAACTGCTTGAATATACTTTTTAAGTGCTCTGCTGAGTCATGGTCGTAGGCTTAGATCTACAAAGGACTTGTATAGTGAAAGAGGATATAGGGAGTCACACATGAATGCTGTGCCATCTCATATTTCTGAAGAGAAAGATAGGAAGTGATACTGTAGGGACTTACTTGAGGACACTGTGATTTTTCTATCTGATATCTCTGGGGACTGCTACCACTGTTATCTCACAGCCCAGACTTCCTCCCACATAAATACTAAACCAACTTTGCTGCTTCTTCAGTATTGTTTACTCTTTTGCTTCAACATTTGTATGCATATTCTAGTAAAAAAATATCAAGAGATAACTTCATTACCTGAAATACAATTTATGAGACGTTCGTAACAAAATGTGAAATTCCAATCTAAAATGAAAAAAGAAGCCTTGACAACCTCTCCGCCTCTACTAGTCATTATATTCAGTCACTTTGAAAGTGGATCTGGAACTTGAGTATATATATTTTACAGAAAAGAATGTTGCTAGTTAGTGGCTGGGGATGTAAAAGGTGTGGTGTCATGTTCTATACATATTCATGAAACAGCTTGTCAAAATGTTGTGTACATGAGCATTTCCTATTTTATAATCTAGCTCTGAAGCAGGAAATTTGTGCATGCAGAATATAGCTAACAGTAAATAGAATTCATGCTTCATTGAGAAGCCCATTATACCTGTCAAGCACTAGACAGAACTCTTCTCTGAAGTTGTGATGTGGCCTGAGATGTCGTACTCCATTGTAGACTATACAGGCTATACAGAGTTCAGTATGAAACCACCTCTGAGTGTGTTAAATCACCCTATACTCATGAAATGGTGTTTCAGTATTTTAGTGAGGGTCTTTGATTTATTTTGATATGGAGCATTAATATTTTCAAACATGTAATAGCTAATGAAATTATTATATGAAAGCCAAGAGTCATTTAATACTACCAGTTTTAGTATAGGCCTGTGGAAAAGAATGCAAATTCTGACTGTAAAGCAGTTTCATGAGTTGACTCTTCATGTTGCTGTCATGGTTTAACCCCAGTCAGCAACCAAGCACCACGCAGCCGCTCACTCACTCCCGCCCCCATCCAGTGGGATGGGGGAGAAAATGAGGAAAAGAAGTAAAACTCCTGGGTTGAGATAAGAACGATTTAATAGAACAGAAAAGAAGAAACTAATAATGATAATGATAACACTAATAAAATGACAACAGTAGTAGTAAAAGGATTGGAATGTACAAATGATGTGCAGGGCAATTGCTCACCACCCGCTGACCGACACCCAGCCAGTCCCTGAGCGGTGATTCCCTGCCCCCCCCTTCCCAGTTCCTAAACTAGATGGGATGTCCCATGGTATGGAATACCCCGTTGGCCAGTTTGGGTCAGGTGCTCTGGTTGTGTCCTGTGCCAACTTCTTGTGCCCTGGCTGGGCATGAGAGGCTGAAAAATCCTTGACTATAGTCTAAACACTACTGAGCAACAACTGAAAACATCAGTGTTATCAACATTCTTCACATACTGAAGTCAAAACATAGCACTGTACCAGCTACTAGGAAGACAGTTAACTCTATCCCAGCTGAAACCAGGACAGTTGCAAAAGAAAAAGTAGTTCTAGGATCTGGTGTTTTCTCCACTGGAATTCCTCCTAGTCTACTGAAGAGAATAGAAGTTAGGTAACTGAGTAATAGTGTGTAATTTATATTCAACATAATCATGTTGATAAAAGGTAAGGGTCAGTTTAACACCGTCTGCACACTTGATAGTCTGTGGTTTAGTCAGTGATTATTTTATGGCTGTTGATGAGCCAGGACAGAGTTGTATTTTAATATGGTGAAGTCAAATTATAAGAGCATGTAGTCCTTTATTGTCCCTACAGTGGTATCCTGTAATGGAATATTGCTTTTAGTTTAACTTTTAAATTTCACTAGCTTGTTGAAGACATTAGATCAAATCTGGTTTGTTTTCCTCATGAGTAATATTATTGATTTAACTGAAACAACACCTGTGCTTAAAGAAACAAAATTTAGTCCATGTTTTCCTCCTGTAATTTCAGCTGGCATGAACTGTCATAGATTTATTGGCTAAGATGAAGCTGCAGATTTGCTGTACTGTGGATCAGGCCTATATTTATACAAAAGACAGTTTTAGACAAAGACAACAAGGAAGGTTGATTTGACTGTGTTAAAGGTCTTACTTTATCAAAGCATGCATAAAATCTCCAGCGCATAAATATAATGCACATATACACACACACGATGCAATTGAAGAAGCCAAACGTTTGCTAATACTAACAAAAACACAAAGTCATGTTAATATTCTTCTGAAGCCACCTTCCTCTAATACAGGTCAGTGTAATGAGCATGCAGCAGGAAGCATCCAAGTGATAAAATACAGAAAAAAAAAATTTCTGCTCAATTACTTTGGTGTAAAACTATAGCAAGACCCAAAGTTGATGTGAACCATTTCATTTTAGTCACTTCACTCACTTATCTATACCAGTTGAAGATCTTGCATGTAGTATTCTTGCTGTGAAATGCAGACAATGATATAATCTGATTTATGTTGATAACTGCAAACAGTACAAATATAATGGATAAACAGGACTTGACTTAGGGCTTTTAAAAAAACATTTACTTTTCCCTGAATCTTCTCTGTTTGATTTTTCCAATGTTGAGGTTGCATCAACATTACTTAATTAACTAAAGACAATTTTGTACACCACAGCTTTCATCCCAATAAGATTCAGATTTACTTAAATAGGAACTTCTTTGGTTAAGGATGCAGGATGTGGTCTGTAGTTTTTGTTTAAGAGCAGGAAAATATTCTTTGGGAAACAGAGATTGCTAGTATATGTAAAAGCCAGACTATATAGTTTAACAAAAATGCTGACCAGAATTACATGGATTACTTTATTTTGTAGATTGCACAAATCCTCCACAACATTGGTGCAAACATTTCAGATGAAAGGTTTGAAGAGATATGGAAGCAAGCCTGTATGAAACATCAGAAAGAAGAGGTTTGTGTAGAAAGCATTAGGAATGTACTGGATGAGATACATGGATCACCCACAAAACCCAGTTGCTAATTCTAGTCTTTGGGCATTGCATTTATTTAAATTGACATCAGTCACAATTCTGATGCTGAACACAATAAACATTTTCAATAACTTGTGTTTATAGAACTGGAATTCACTGTTTATTGTCTTTCTGAATAGTGGGCTCGTCACATGTATATATGAATCTTACTGCTTCTGTTACAGTTAGTAGGAACTGATATCCATAGGAATAAAAGAGGATACTGCATGTTTGTAAGTGGAATGCAAATATTTATCTTATATTTTTTATTATCTTTTTTACAGTGTTTCTAAGTCTAAATAATACTTTGAGCATGGACACATTTTGCTTTTTTAATTTATTTTTTTCTCTTATAAATGGAAGGACACTTTTGAAAGTAAAGTACTTAAGGTAAATATTTCATATATTCAAGACCTCTTAAAGATTATTATCATAGAGTGGCATCTTGTCTTGCTTCCAATGTTCCATATTTTCTTGTCAACAAAATGGTAGCTAACAGAGATCTGGTTGTGGTAAGTTACTTGACATGTTTAAAAATTCATGTGAGAAAGTGCTTTACAGTAAGATACTAAGGAAACTGCATAGTCATGGGTGTGGGATCTAAAGTGTTGTCATGAAATAGACTCAGTGAGAACCAGTGGATTAAGAAGTGCAAGAATAAATGCCCAGCTGTGTGGCAGAGGGCTCATATTCTTTATGCAAGCTTATGGCTATTAGGTAGTAGTATTCAGCTTTCACAAACAACAAAAAGAATGGATATTTAGAGGTGTATGTGCACATTACAGAAAAACACAGGCTAGGTAGTCAGAAAAGTTTTGGAGGGCTCTGTTCCCAGCTAACTGGGAGCTAACTGTTAGCTTGTGACCAATGCAATTTCTTGGGAAGAGGGATCTTCATAAATGAAAAGCACTTGAGGATCATTATGGAAATCTCAGTGAATATATATGAAGTCCAATAAGAATAAACAATGGAAAGCAAGTAGTACTGAAATCTGCAATTGTGAATTGGAATGTTCACACTTCGCCTACAGTACTGAGCTTGGTATAAAACAAATGGAAATTGTTCAGTATTGACAGTGAGGATGATTACTTTTAGACTTTTTCAAATTAATTGAAAAGAAAAATCCTTGCCCAATGTAATCTTAAGATCCAGGATTTCAGGAAGGATGTACTTTGTCACCTATTGATGCTCTAAATACCTTAGTGAGATTTGGAGGATGTTGCCAGCCAAAAGTTCTACTGAGTTCTACAATGTAAGTAAAGGTTCTATATAACTTAAAAATTAGGAATGCATGTATAATGCCAGCTTAAAATTTCATTGTAACACTTTACTCACGTGCTTGTTAAGATTCCTCTTTTGCCAGTGTTCTAGGAGCTTGTAGTTTACTAGCTTGTTACATGAGATCCACAAGCCAGACCCTTCTGTACGTTATTAATGTAGTGTTAATAGTAGCTGTCTTACATCACGTAGAAAGAATTTGTTTTCTGGTATCTCCAGGGAGCAGGTGGTGGAAATGCTGCTTGATGAAGGCAGCTTCTTTCCTGCTGTGAATGGAAGTTGTTTTGGGCTGTTGTTGCCTTGCCTTCCCGTCATTCTGGAACTCTGTGTGTGCACTGGGAAGCATGCAGGAAGCAGACTGTGACTGTCCCAAGTGAGCTCATGACAGAAAGATGAATGTACTGCTAATTTCAATTGATTTTATTATGTCAGGATTTCACTACCTCTGGTGAAATTCTCTAAAGCTCCTCTTCTGCTCATATAAGGTGGGAGGGAAGAATCCTTTACTGTTGCTGCAGTGCACTTCCAAAAGGATCGGAGAGAATTACTTTAAAAAAAAGTATTATTTTTCTCCTTCAGTAGAAAATTTTAGATGAAAGATTTAAGCTCACTTCAGGGAAAAAAAAATAAAATTACCACATCTGTGTGTGTATCTATGTGAGATCCATTGTGTTCAGCAGCTGGAAATTCTGTGTACCCTATTTTTTGAATCTATTGTAAAGATACCCGCTTTCATTCCTCTGCTTTCGGTAGAATGTTTTCCTTTGTCAGTGAAATGGAATTAACATTGTTCTTGGGCAGTCTGCTAAGGAAGTCCAGAATAAAGAAGACTGATAAATCATGGTTTGGTTTTTTGCCACTATGTTTCTAACCACAGACCAAAGGTTTCATTTTGAGGTTGGGTTTGAAATGAACTGGAAGTGGTGTTCGCCTAAACTTGCCTCTTCTGAAGCTTTAAAGGATTAATCACTGAACACAGCTGTAAATTCTACTTGTAGGTGCTTGTTTTTCAGCACAATATACATAGAAGGCCCCTGAAAGTTTTAATTTCTGTGACACAGACATTTACTTCTGTGGAGTTTCCCAAGCCTTTTGTTTCCTTTTGTTAAATGCTTTATGCACACAGAGTTTTGGTGCAGACTTCTGCATTTCATTTGTTTGACTTTGCAACATGTGAATTCAATTACATATTTATAGGCTTTAGAGCTGCAAGTTGTGTTCTATGATTTTTATGGTTCCCTTAATATATTCCAATTGACAGAAAATAACTTTTTCTTTCTTCTATATTGTAGTGTGATTGCCTTTATCTTGCTACAGAGTTGGTTTAACCAGGACAGCACAGTACCTTTCACTTAACCTGTGGACCGTATCCAAGGCAAAGTTTTCCAGAAAGGCTTAGCAAAACAACCTTCGCTATGATTCAAAAGCCATGTGTTCTAAGAGCAAATGTACAAATTTAGCGCTTGAGTGAATTTGTTCTGTTAACAGTTATAATACAAAATCACAGAGATTGTAAATATGTTGACTGAAACTTTGTGGGCAAAACTAGTAAACAGCAAATCCTGACAAAGGTAAGTGTTTTGGTAAAAATCAGCGAGTTTAGACATTTTGGGCCAAATTTTCTTCATAGAATTTTCATAAAAATAGACACTGGATAAAAGACAGAGCACATTCAGATATTTGTGCACTATTTCTCCATTAATCTCTGTTTCACTATAATGATTATTCCAAAGAATAGCATATTTAATAATTATGCATTTTTAATTGGTTCTGTCAAATGAATTTAACTCAAGCTCTTAAGTTCATCTTAGAGCAGATGTGTTGGTTTCCAGGGATGGAGCAAGGAGATCTTCCTTTCTACAGAAGTAGAGGCCAGTATTTTCTTCTCCCTAAAAGCTGTGTCAGAGATACTGACTTTCAATACCTGAAAACACTTGCCTGTAAAAGACAAGGCTGAAGATTTGAATGTGCAGAATTATTTGTTATTCATTCTGTATTTCTGGCTCTTAATCATTAGAATGTGAATATTAGCACAGATAAGCGTACAGCTGATATGACTTATTTGGCAGTGACTTCTGCTATGTAAAGCAGATATTGGACTTGATTATTCTTTTTACTGTTGTCAAATGGAAAAATTCATCTGTGCAATGACTTGTGTTTGAGATGCTGGAAGATCCGTCCCACTGTCTTCCACATGAGCTTTCGTAATTCATAGCCTCGCCTGGATCTAAAATTATTTAACCTGTCAAGCTCTTTTCTTTCACCAGAATACTTGGATCTTATTCTTTTTTTGTTATGGCTATTGATTTTGTTTTAGAAAGAGTAATTGTGAGCCTGTACTTTTTTTTTTTTAAGGCAGTGTATTGATCAAGACCTGAGGTTTCTTAAATGATGGGACAATCTGCATACCTTATCTAAAGGTCTTCTCTTGAAATCCCAGAGTGCTTTCTTCATTGTCCTCGCTATTAGAATGTAGACCTTGCCTTGATATTATTACTATATAATTTTAATATATGTCTTAAAATGCGTAAGTATTTTTTTTTTCAGTAAATTAAGAATTGCTGGTTTTCAGTGATTTACCTGACTCAAGTAAATTTCCTGGTGCTGGAACTCATTCTTAAAAGTGAACGTCCAGTTCTGGTTGGTTGGTTGGTCTGGTTTTGTCGTGGTTTAACCCCAGCCAGCAACTAAGCACCATGCAGCAGCTCCCCCCCCCCCCCCCGCCCCAGTGGGATGGGGGAGAAAATCGGGAAAAAGAAGCAAAAACCACGGGTTGAGATAAGAATGGTTTAATAGAACAGAAAAGAAGAATCTAATAATAATAATGATAACACTAATAAAATGACAACAGCAATAATGAAAGGATTGGAATGTACAAATGATGCGCAGGGCAATAGCTCACCACCCACCGACTGACACCCCGCTAGTCCCCGAGCAGTGATTCCCCACTCCCACTTCCCAGTTCCTATACTAAATGGGACGTCCCATGGTATGGAATACACCGTTGGCCAGTTTGGGTCAGGTGCCCTGGCTGTGTCCTGTGCCAACTTCTTGTGCCCCTCCAGCTTTCTTGCTGGCTGGGCATGAGAAGCTGAAAAATCCTTGACTTTAGTCTAAACACTACTTAGCAACAACTGAAATCATCAGTGTTACCAACATTCTTCGCATACTGAACTCAAAACATAGCACTGTACCAGCTACTAGGAAGACAGTTAACTCTATCCCAGCTGAAACTAGGACAGTTTTTAAACAACTGTATGCAATTATTTGGGTGCTAAATAGAATGCTAATAACCTTAATGCTAAGAAGAATGCTTCAAATGGATGTCTAAGCAGAAAAGGAGATATTGGGGCAAAGTGCCCAGAAATACGATTTAAGTCTTTATCTTGCCAACAGATAGGAATAGGTAGGATGGTTTTGGAATGGCTTATACAGCCTAATTAGTTGATGTTTGCCATTAGGAGGTATTTCTTTGGAAACTAGTTATTTGCATTTGACAGTCTATCATTGACCACCATCTGCCTGCGTGGTTTCACCTTGCTGAATGGCCAGAATGCTTTTCTAGCAGATGGGTATGAATTTAGGCATGCCAAAGAGCCACTAAATGCTACATGGCTGAGTAGTTGGGATAGGCTCTATATTTCTTTGTTACTCTTAAAAGCTATATTAATTTTGAAAATGCCAACATAGATTATGCAAACCTGTAGGAAAGATTTTGGCATGTT